TAATCTGCCGCTTTGATACGAACGCTGCTGTTACAATGTATATGGCTGTTTTGCGTTTGTCTAAACGGGGAATTAATTAATCTGCCGCTTTGATACGAACGCTGCTGTTACAATGTATATCGCTGTTTAATTGCATGTTTAGACAAACTTAAATCAACAGTCGATTGTGCATATGTGGCTTTGAAGTTAATGCTTGGTTGCCTACCGGTTACGTCAACCTCTTCCTATACGTGCGTGACCACAAGGTGCGCCAGTTCTTCCACCAATGGGTTTATGCTCCCATTTAACCTATAATTGAAATTAAATGGTTGAATAATTAAGTACTTGGTACCACTAGATGGGTAGAGCAATGGACTCTGAACCATATGTAATCAAATGTGCCTCTTTCTAGATGGTTAATAATTTTGAAATTTCTTCTTCATTTCAGGTACTGTTTTTGTGTTTTTCCATCATGCCCCGCAAGCCCCAGGCCTGCCCGCTTTGCCGGGCTGTCTACAAGAACGTTTCGGTCCACCTCCGTGCCGTGCACAAGGTGGACAGCAACGCAGAGAGGAGGCTGCTGAACTCCTTGTCGTCGGGCAGATTTGCCGGGCCGATAGATTGCCCCGTGCCCCTCTGCCCGGCGACAAACCTCAGCCGAATTGACCGCCACCTGAAGCTGCGGCACTCGCTGGACGGCGACGAGCTGAAGCGGCTGGTATTGCATCCCATTCCATTTAATTGTATCTGTATAGGAAATCTATGCTGCAGTTCATCTTAAAGAATCTCACACGATTACCTCCTGCCCAAAACCCAGATTGCGATCGCCAAGAAGGCGGCGGCACGAAGGTCGTTGCACGACTTGAGAGGCGCACGCAAGCAGAGGGAGGATGAGATGGCACGGCTGAAACGGCGGCTCCGACGCCTGGAGAAGGAGGTGGCCAAGCTGAAAAGGCAAAGCTCCTCTGTGCCTCAGGGGTCGGGATCCTGGTCACGTTCGCAGCATTCTGGCGGTCGGCAGTCTCGGAGCGAGGAGGGCGACATGCCATCCCTCAGCTGCAGACGGCGACGATCAGCTCCTGTGCTCGTCACCACCTCCTCCTCCTCAGATGAGGTGGTCACCACAGCGGTCCAGCTCTCCGGGGAAGGCCCCAGTGGCGCCACATGTAGTCAGGGTGAGTCCAGCCGGGTGCAGTTGCTACCCCTAATATGTTCCACAGAAGGTGGAAACGACCTGTGGTGGAAGACACGTCAATCACTTCAGCAAGGGAACAGCTATGGTGAGGCTAAAACAACATATCTTCCAACAGGTGGCACTGCCCAGGTGGAGGGAGACCTGGGGGCACATGGCACGCAGCCATCGTGTAAGGTGGTGGTTGTCCTCCAGCAGCTGGAGCAGGAGGAGGAGGAGGAGGAGCAGCAGCAGCAGCAGCAGCTGGAGGAGTCGGAGTTTGAAGTAAGTTTAACCGGTTAATTTTGGTAATTGAAACATTAATAACGTGTGTGTGTGTGTGTGTGTGTGTGTACATGTCAAACTGAACACATCTCTTTGACAGGTCCCAAGTCCTCTGCCAAAAGCAGTGCCGTTTGCTCGGGTAATGCCAAGGCGTCTTTTTTTTTTTTATTTTATTTTTTTTAACT